TCCCCTCCCGGTGGTACGTCCCGCCCCGCACCTCTCCCGCGGAGCCCGGCGCGCGCTCTCCTCCGGTTCCCCCGACGCGCTCCCACCGGAACTTCCGGCCGCCGGGTGGCGGTCGGGGAGTTCAGCGCGGCGGAAGTGACGCATTACCCGTCCCTCAGGGGGCGGCCATTTTCGTAGAGGATTCCGCTCAGGGCAGAGGCGAACGCGGCGGGACCGGCCACGGTCCCCCTCGACGTTACCACAGCGGGCCGCTTCCCCTTCCCCACCGCCTCCCTTCCCCTCTCTGCCGCCGGTCAGGCACCGAGCATCGCCCTCTCCCCGCCAGACAACCGCCGGTGACAGCCGCGGCCTGGAGCCGTCCCCGCTGTCTCAACCCCCGCAACCCGGCGTCTCCCTCTGGGGCGAGAAGGGCCGCTCCGCACACTAGGCTGTGACCCACGTTCAGGGACAGGGATGCGGGTGACCAGGCCGCAGCCGGAGCTCTGCACCTCAGCGCGTGTTTTATTGACAGTCAGAGAAGGAAACGATACCAGACACGAGCTTGCCACTGCCTAAAGACCGAGTCTCCCGTTAACGAGAGCAGATCTGCTGCCTTCTTGCGGGACCCAACGCGCTGCCGCCCTCAGCGGCCACCTTCGTACAGGCATTGCACGCGATCGGCGCTCTGCTTTCCAAGGCAAAGACCGAAATGTAAAGCTGATCCAACACTCTCCAAGTACTTCAGGAAGCCATTTCTGTCCGAGTCAGCCCGTCACATCCATACACTTGTACCAGAGCCTTCGGGAGATTCCCGACAGCACTGTTAGGAGATGAAGTGAGTCTGTGGGGTGATTTGTTCCAACTTGTGATCAGCTGGGTTTGCTGATGCTTCGTAATTGCAGATGGTGACTTCATGGCGATGAGCCTGAGTTAAGATGGAATGCGTTAGTCCAGAGGAGAGCAACATTCAAGTCCCTCCTAAAACACCTGACTGGCAAGAGCTGAGTAGGTTCCCATCTTACAGACTTTCAACCACAGACCCCCCCCGCACTGTTCCCACTTCTTCGCCACAGCTAGAGCTCAACTTAAGCTATGATTTAAAGCCCTTTTTACACTACCAGCACAGTCTTGCTCATCTCTGCTCTTACCTACCTCTGTCCACTCTCCTTTCAGGCCTATATAAAAAATCTTTGTTGTCTCCGCTCCAAAGTTCTTCGGGAAGTGGATGGAGAGGTGGGAAACACTGGAGAAACGGGCAATTCTGAAAGAAAACACACTCTGAAACCGGAGCTGTGCGTACAGGCTACCACTCTGCTGCATTGCCACCTCCTCGCAGCATGGTGCTAAGCTCCTACCCTAACCCAAGTCAGACTTGAGAGCAAACAACTTGAGGGTGCAGGAGGAGCAGCTTCCCTCACACTTGTGGCGAGCAGGCTAGCAACAAGCTGTCGCTGGGGCCAGGAGCAGGTGACATGACACCAGGATGATTCTGCACCCCAAAAAGTCCTGGGTCACAGGCACAGGCACCCCCCTGACTCCAGGGAGGGGGTTTTCAGACCAGAGCTCTCACCTGACAAGGGCAGGACAGAGCCAGGGAGACAAATTCTACTGTGGGCAGCTTTGAGATGCAAGGGAAGGAACTGCCCTCTGCTAACACTTTCCTAAAATTCGGTGGCACACCAGCAGGCTGGATCGAGCGCAGCACCTGCGCTCGGGAGGAGCAGCCCTCTGCACCCCCCAGGCATGTGGGTCTGCATCGTACTTGGTGGGGTACTCCAGCTCGCCTGTCAGATCCCGGTTCAGGCTGAACGTCTGGTCCGGTTCCCTGGCTGTGTCATCAAAGGACATGTGAGGAATGTTCTTGAACCTGGGAAGAGAGGGAGGAAACCCAGGAAGTTATTAACATACAAGTCAGCTAATTGGTTTCCTCCCCATCCATTAGCTCTACCCTGCTAAAGTTTAAGTAGCTACCAAGCAGTGCGCTACCCGGATTCTTCTGAACAGTAAGAAAATGGATTTGCTTTGTCTTCTAAGGGAAAAGATACCAACGCCACCACAAAGCGCCACCACAAAGCACCACCACGCTCCAGAATACCCAACACCCTGAAGAAATAACAAGGAGGAGCGAGGAACAAAGCTGGGGAGATACAGATCTCGGCATGCTTGGGTACATGAAGAAACCCAGACCCGGTACACTGCAGACCAAGGAAAATAGGGGCTTGATAAAGGTGTATTTCTTTCCCCACAAGCAAGAACTGCAGAGTACTCAATACTCTTTTATTTAAAAAAAAAAAAAAAAAAGGCAGTATTAAGAAGCATTTCTCTCCCATCAGGAGCTAAAGCAGGCCATGTGGCTCAGTACGGCAGGACCGCTGCCAAGAGCCTTACAAACCTCACCTAGCTGCAGGACACTCCGTCACTTGTGTCCCTCCCTCCCTTCCAGGCCTCAGTTTCCCCCCAAAGCGTAAGCCCTCTTGGCCCACCAATCCTTCTGCAGCCAGCTAAGCCAGCAGCAGGTTGATTTCTTCACAACGCACAGCCAGTGTCCCAACCAAACCTTCTCTTCTAATTAAAATCGGTGCCTCATTTCTCTAGAGAAAAAGGCAGCAAGCAGCCGCGCTCATCCCTGTACAGGTTATGGTTTCTTTTTCCTCCTGAGGCCCTGGGATGACGGAGCTGCTGCAGAGTAACACTGCGTTCTCCCACGCTGCGCACCCTTGCTGGGTGCTCAGGCACCCAACAGCATGAGAATTGCTGTTCTCGTTAGCTACGAGTCAATCAGTTCAGTTTAGGCTCTGGCCAAGTTAACGCTCATTTTACTTACAGTCTCATCTCCGCTGGATGCGTCCCGTCATCTTCTCCCATCACAATTACTCCTTTTAATTTCACATTACCCGTAAACCTGCCAAGAGACGCAGAAGCGGCATTTTCATCTCCGTTCTCTCCAGATCAGCCCTGGTTACACAGCAGCACGCAGACGTGCCTCATTCCCAGCAATAAAAAGGCAAGAAATAAGCCCTGTCAGCAGCCAAAACGATGCCGAAGGAGCTCAGGGAAAGGACTTACGGGATATTGAACAGAAGCTCCTCATCATCGTCGCTTTCTACGAACTGGGGAGAGAGAGGAGCAGGTCAGGGCCGGCCCCAGCTGCGCAGGGAGGCACGGGGGGGGTGAGTACAGGGAGCAGTGGGGCGGATAACCTCGGAGGGGGCTCAGGGGTAAGGCGGGGACCCCCCACCACCACCTCGCTTAGTCCCACACCCCCTCCCGGCGCCGCCCGGCTCCGCTGCAGACCCCCGGCCCGGGCTCCACCTGGGTTCGGTCACCCCGCTCCTCCCAAGCGCGGAAGACGAGAGCGCCACTGCCCTCTCGACGCTCGTTAAGGCATTGCAGCCGCTGTCGGTCGATCCGTAGGTAAAGCCCCCAGGCCGCGCCGCCATCCCCGCCGACCGCCGCCGCTTCCCCGC